GAGTCCTCCAGCGAATGCAGTGCGGATGTTGGCTGATATCATTGGTCTGGAGCTTGACCTCAAAGATGTCAGCATACCTAACATGGAACATAAGTCGCCTGAGCATTTGAAGGTATAATTTTAAGCGATATAGTCTATACCGGGTCTAAGTAAAACGCTTCCACGAAAAAACGAAGACAAGTTATAGTATAAAGCTAGTTTTTTTTTTTTAAGTATCTAAGGAATTTTTTCAGCCTTTGATTGCCGACATAAAACTTTTGAAGGCAAATCTTCCGCCAACGTAGGTCACCGGTGACCTACGTGGCGGTTAACGTGTTAATGATAGGTAATTACTTTTATGTATTAAAAGTTGTAATCCACTGCTCAAGGCTGCATATTGGCAAAAAAACATTTAAAAACAAAAAAATTGTGTGCGTTTTGGGAAGCGTTCTATTTACATTCTGTAGGTAGGTATTATCAATGTTTTGTCGCGGAGAACCTAACGGGTAACCGGGGCTCTGGCTCGACGTGCAGGAGAAGGAACGGGGTGGTTTTTAGTCAGTAAGAGTCTGACACTCCCTCCCGCCTCACCCAGGCGGGAGCAGCCATTCGATGATTTTCACCACAAAAAAAAAAATATCAGTGTTTTAGTTATACTTAAACTGACTGGCTATGTCTGACTGACCTGTCGCAAGCAAGTCTCTATATAACGTTTGTTGTGAGTTTTAATTAATTCTACATGTTTATTTTACAGCGCAATCCTATGGGAACTATCCCGACATTGATAGATGGCGACTTCATCATCTCTGAAAGGTACAATTAATTTATTTATTTAGTAAATTATAATTATATAAGTCAGACCAAATCTTTACAGTGTCTCATTTTATTTCGGATCTGATATGAGTTCAACAATTAATTTTTCGATAAATAATTATAACTATCAGAGTCTTGGTGGCCCGGAGGGCATAAAGGTGCAGGTTCGAAACCTACAAAAAGCAACTACTAATGTAATTTTTTCTGAGTTATATGAACTTTCTTCCTAGCCACGCAACCATGAAGTACCTGCTATCAGTGTATGGTGACTATGAACTCCGCGAGTCATTATACCCGAGCGACGTGCGCACGCGCGCCCTCGTCGACCAGTGCATGTTCTTCAACGCTGGCGTCTTCTTCCTGAAGCTGCTGGGCTGTGTTGTAAGTTCTGAAAATTAAATGTCTTTAAATTGTTAGAGCTCAAGTTATTTAATGCCACATTTAGGAACTGCATCTTTCATGTCAGCTACAAGACATCTACTGCTGAACATAGGCCTCCTCATTTAAAGCAGAAGTGAGGGCATTCACAATCATGTGTTCAACTCTTCATCAAATTCAAAGTCTTTATTACTTCATGTGTGGGCACTAAGGTGTTATACATAATACATATTATTTTGGTTAAGCAGTATCAACATGACCCTGTAAGGGCGATGCAATTTATCTTAAATAATAAAAAACACTAGGCATTGTATTAAAGATTTTTAAGTTTTACCACAATTGCTTCAATTGGTTTTCGTTTATATTCTACTTATTATACAAATCTACCAACTCCTTATTTGAACAATTTTATTTATTTATTATCATTACTGCTATCATTTTGCTTTTCATTTATTTTTTATTTTATTTTTTTAGTTTTGTTGTTTATTCTCAAAAAACTCTTGCAATGTGGGGGCCCGTTAATTATTTTTCTCTGATTCTCAGTTTCACCTGCCATGCGTCATGATCATCTTGCGATAGACTGAACCGATTTCAATGTGGGTTTCAGAAATTGTTTGTTACAATTAGGATAAGATTTTGGTATATGTATTAATTAACTGACTTCAAGAAAGAGGGGGTTGAAATCGGTTCTTTTTTAAAAGTAGTTTAAAATAAAAGAATTATTGCACGCTACGGTTAGCTACAGCCGAAGTACAATAACGTGGCGTCGCCGTCGTCACGTCTTGTATAGGTACCTAATGTTGGGTAGAACCCAAAATTCAATCTATGACTAAAACCGATTGTGCTAACAACATCTGTACATGTCACTTATATTAGCGTACAAAATTTTTTTGTGTGTGTTTATTTACAATCGGTCTCTTGACCATGAGCAAATTTTTGGACGTTATTTGAGTTGTAGACAAATCTCTCCATTAAGAGATCAGTCTCTTATTTCGAGGCCAGCCAGTTTGGGAGGCGAAGTTCCATGAAGTCTCGTCTTTTCAGCTGTACGAATTAAAATTTTCTTTCTTTTTTTCAACGTTCAACTGTTTCCAGTTACCAGCTGTATTCGGAGACTTGGACGGTCCTACACAGCAGCATAAAGCAGAAATTGATGCGGCATATAGCGTGTTGGAGGCATATTTGAAAGATCATAAGTACATTGCAGCCGACCACTTAACTCTCGCGGACCTGAGCGTTGGTGCAACTGCCATATCCATTCAGGTTGCACATAAGCTGGATGCTACGAAGTTAGTATTGTTCTCGAGTTTAGTTTATCATCCTCATTGTTTTAGACTGCTTTGTGATCTTACTTACTTATTTATTTATTATTTATTTATTTATCATTTACTAGCTTTTACCCGCGGCTTCGCTCGCGTCACAAAAGGATAAAAAGCCAATGTGACATATACCAATACACACAGCGCCATCTATACCAATACTTTTGTTTTCCCTCAGGAATATAAAATTTTTCCGGGATAAAATGTACCCTATTATTTAATCCCGACTTCTAACTATACATCTGCAAAAATTCAAAGCAATTGGTTCAATAGTTATGGCGTGAAAGCGGAACAAACAAATAAACTCACTTTCCGATTTATAAATTAGTAAGGATGTACATTCATACAACACAAAGGACAAAACATAATCATTATAATATAAAAACGAGGTACCTACATAGGTCCCTTACTTACTTTGTTGGTATTCCGAAAATTTCACCATTTTCCAAGTTTACTTCGGTCTACAACAAGCTCTCTATTATTAAAATTCATATACATATGGGACTGGTAAGATGATGAATAAAACTACTTCTATATTTTCTTCCTTAAGGTTTCCCCTGACGGCTGCGTGGATGTCCAGTTTAGAAGACCACCCATCATTCAAGAAGATCTTACTACCAGGTGTGCAACTTTTAAATGAATTCGTCAATGCGGCCTGGCAGAAGAATAGAAAATAATTAATATTATGAATATTTGAATTAATTAATTGATTGTATTTTTTGTATTAAATTCCTTACGTAAGTAGGTAATTGATAAAATAAAGTTTTTATTAAAATGAATATTATTCTTAGTTTTATTTAAAAGAAAATAAGTTCCTAGTTTTGTGGGGCTAGATATTATTTTTCTAGAAGATTTGAAATTGTACCAATACAGGGTGTTGGCCAACAGTTTTCGCCAGTTATGTATTATACTATAACTTTACTAGCGACCCGCCCGACTCCGCACGGGTGCCATATGCTTGTATTATACATATAAATCTTCCTTAAGAATCACTCTATCTATTAAAAAATCCGTTATTAAAAACCACATGAAATCCGTTGCGTAGTTTTAAAGATCTAAGCATACATAGGGACAGACAGACGGCGGATAGCGATTTGTTTTATACTAGGTACATATGTAGTGATAGTCATTATATTGATCCCAAGATAAAAATAGAAATGCTTTTCGCATATTCATTAGAAAGATGAGAATAAAAGTTTTATAATAATCATCATTCGGAAAAATTCCAGCCTCTTCAACTCGGTCCTTCAAGGTATGGATCGAGAGGTGGTTGTCGACCTACCTGAATTCCAGGAAAGGTGATATCATCCTGAAGGTTGACATTAAGAATGCCTTTAATTCGGTCAATAGGGATACTTTGTTGACAGAAGTTTAAAAAGAAGTAGCCCAAATTTTCAGTTTTCTCTGGCAATGTTATATCAGGACAACGTTTGGAATCAGCCGTTGGCTGTCAACAAGGCGATCCCCTTGGACCAATAATTTTTAGCCTGGCTATTAATCCTATTATTCGACAGCTAAATTCCAAATGTAGTGTTTGGTACCTCGATGACGGTACCCTGGGAGGCGATGCGGACACAGTATTAAATGATTTCATATTTTTAAAAAACGAACTTCATGCTATTGGCCTTGACCTAAATTATTCCAATCACTCTCCCAGATACAATGGGACGAGCCGCTATGCAGAAAATTGAGGGAAAATCTCTTAAACTCCTCTTGTTCAACTAGAGAGAGAGCTCGCCTTTTGGCTGTGGGTGAGTGGGAGTCGGGGTTATAGCTTCTTGCTTTACCTTCGTCTAACCTAGGTACTTTATTGGATGACACCACGTTCCGCGCTGCAATTTGTTTAAGGCTTGGACCCCTACGATAGGGGTCGTATAGTTTTGACATTGAATAATTATTTATCGAGATTTTATTGGATTGAAATTGCATTGACATTGAGATTGGTTTCAAGAGTAAGCACCCGGGTTCTGTTCTGATAGGGCGGCGAGCTAGCTACTCTTGCTCACCTTCCAGAGGCCCATGCTTACGGAGGCCAGAGCTCGTCTCGCAATCACTCGTTTTAACGGGAGTAAAAAAAAATATTTTCAAGATCGTATTTGATAGATAACTCGCCATCTAGAATTTGATTCACAAATTTCAATCATGTTTACTGCTTAATCACCACTAGATGTCGCTACATACCCTACTTGCTACGCATGATTTTTTTACCATAAATTAATTTATTTTAGAATATATCTAAAATAAATTATTTAGTAACTCTTATGCCGTCTTTTTTATATCACGAAATAGGTGAAATGTAATAAATTTTTTGTAAACCACTTGTTGCATAGGTTACTAACGCCATCTTTGGGTTAAACACTGCGTGAATGAATGTTCTTTTTTGGAAAAACCGCCATCTATTGTTGAGGAATAAAACTCCTAAGTTATTTACACATTGACCTTGCTTTGCAACTTTCGAACTTAGAACGTTGGAACAACGACATTCGCTGGAGTCGGAATTTGAATGGTATGGGCAGGCTCGGTTCGAGTCTCAACGGAACGTCAGATACGTGTACGGCGAAGTGCGGTCGACTCGTCGATGCGCAGCTGTCCCGCAGCGCTTGTCAATTTTTAGTTTTTCCGGAACGCGTGTGTAAATAAACAAATTATAATTTTTCATTACAATATTATGAAGTGAAACTGAAGTTTGTTTAATTATCGTGCCGATTCAAAGTGGAGCGTTTTGAATGAATCTGTAACCGTTTCTCGCAATGACAACGGAGAGCACTCGGTTACCTCTTGAGAAACCGGAGGCATTAAAATGTTTCATGTGGTCTAATTGATGCCATTTTTTACATTAATAAGTGTATACGTTGTTATAAGGACTATTGTGATTCGTTTAGTGACGCTTTGAGTTGTAACCGTTTCGATTTCGACTCGGTCGGTAGTCGTCTACACGTTTTAAAAATGAGTGTTTTAAGTGGTTTGAGTAAAGCTGACTTCAAAACTGCCAGTGATGGACTGCTGGAGCTGCCCGAGGAACGGCTCCGCAGCCTCATGCGCACAGAGCCCATCACCTCCGTCTATCACGTCGAACAGACACCCTTTGCAAGGTAAACAAACTAACTTTTTAAACTTGTAAACTTCGTATACCTGACGACAGACTGCGAACAATAAGTTTTTTTTTTCATTACTCGTGAATGTAGCTAAGGACGCAAGCAAAGGAACTGCAAGCAAAAACCACGTTTTGTTTTTTTGCGTGCATACTTGGTCTTGATAGATTGGTCCCACACTCCTACCCACACATACAGCTGCCAAAGTTGTTAAAACTATTTACAAACTTTTTTGTGTTGTTAACTTAACAAGTTTTAATGAATTCTTACTAGGAATGAGATAAAGGGTAACAGTTTGGCTATTGGAATGTGTTTTAAGTCTCAAAAAAGTGGATAAAAGTGTCATAAAGTAATATTTCATGCATATTATTGTTATCAGAATGTGGCTGGCAGTCTGTAATCTAAAACTTTATCATAACTGCGTGTCCTACAGCCAATACAATAGATATAACTTGGCAGAGTTAAAGATACCTGTGCCTAGTGCAATTTATATTGTTTTCTATATGGTTACAAAATGGCAAAGCTACAGTGTTTATCAGCATGTTCTTGATAATAATGAGTGATGAGTGTGAAGGAGCAAGATAACATTGATAACAAGTATTTTTCGCTATAAAGGAAGACTTAAAACAATTTTCAATGCAAATATAAAGATGTTACATAGTGTTCAAACATGCATAAAATCTTGTTTGACCAAAAAATTACTTTATCTTCTTAAAACTATATTTCTAGAAGTTTTCATTGATGTAATAAGAATTGTTTGAAGATGATAACAGTCTTATTTCATTTACAAGGTATCATCATGACATTGACAATAATTAAAATTCTGATTTGTTATCTAGTTTGCTGTTTTTTTTTATAAACTTGTAGGTACAATATATGTTACACTCACGGTAATTACCGACTGTTATTATAGGTAATTACAGCTTATTTAACCGCTATAGCTAACTAGATAATGTTGCACAAAATATGCAATTTGTTTATATTTTACTTGTTACAAATAACTAAAATAACTAAATAACGCATTGTGCAATTTACATTCATAGCACAATATATCTAATCAAATGGAAAAGTAATTAATGTTGTTATAATCATCTTTAGTACCCTAATACAAATCATTATTTTAGTTATGTAAATATACAATTGCTGGGCTGATACTAAACTATTTAAAAACCTATCCATAGATACCTGTGCTATTGTTTATTAGGAAGTGGGTACACCACTTAACAAAATTACTAGGTTACAATTTTTGTTATGAACTTCCTTCTTAGGGACATTATGTTTATGATCCTAGAATTTACTATCTACCTAAATTAGAAAATATAGTTTCAATCATTGTCTCTTGATGTTTTGGCTATATTATTTTTATTAACTCTAGTCACCCAAGCAGTGTGCCTAATTTAACTTTCTCACTTCTTGGTTACACCTCAACCTTGTTTCTCAAAACCATGACATCAGTCTCCCATTAAACCTCAAGTAGCCGCCCTGTCGCCCAACGTGACTTAATTAGTGAATCAATCAGTCTGTCGAGAATATGCGCCATGCATACGAACACAAAGCCCGGCATTGTGGTCAAATGTCGAGGAACCCGGCCATTCAGCCTTTTTGTCGTTGCAACTTGCATGTCCGTTTTCCCGCCTTTATTTGCCAGCTGCCATCTTTCTGTGCGGTTCGGTTGACGTAGGTACTTAGTAGTCTTCTTCATCTTTAATATATTATAGATCTATGTTAGTAGTTTTTTTTAAAGAATAGTTAGTTTTGCGGAATATAATCTATATTATGTTACGTACATTAGGTACGTAGGTAAATACAAGTTTTTGAGTCTTATAGATTCGCTATTCTTAATAATCATGATCACTAAGCCACATCTCTATGCATCCACTACTACTTGCTTCAACAATAGGTACTATTGTGAATTTTATTACCATTCTAGTTCTAGAACCCATATAAACCTATTAGTTTAATACGTTTTAAGTTATCTTAGCGGATTCTAATAGTACTGTCCCATTTTAAAGGTCGATTCTCTTACAGAATCGAATTGAAAAACGCGTGTAAAAATCAAATTGTCACGGTATTGAATTATACCACAATACTTGATTGCATGTACCGAAAATTACATTATATTGATTACATGCACTGAAATACTCTACACGAGAACACTTTGTACGACTGTGAAGAATTTTGAGTAAGGCGCCAAGTTTAACACGCTAACGTGGATTAAGATTACGAAAAAATAACTGAATTATCTTATCTTGGTGCCAGGTAGTAAGTGTAGGTACTAAGTAGAACACGATTTATTCTAAACAATTAAGTATTTTCATAGCTAGAGATAGAAGGGTTTTAAAAAGTTGAGAAAAACAGAAAAAACGTTTAAAGGTTCTCAGTTCAACGTTTAATGGTTTATAGGTAACTAGCGACCCGCCCCGGCTTCGCACGGGTGCAATATGTATATACATACAAACCTTCCTTAAGAATCACTCTATCTATTAAAAAAAACCGCATCAAAATCCGTTGCGTAGTTTCAAAGATCTAAGCATACATACGGACATACAGCGAAAGCGACTTTGTTTTATACTATGTATTGATGTTTATAGATAAGGTACTTAAAGATTCCTCTAATTACTTTGAATTGCGTTGCGATAGATAACTAACCTTCCTAATAATAAATACATCGTTACATTGGTTTACTTGATAGACCTAATAATTAATAATAATATCAAATATACTGTATTCAAATTAATGTATTGTTAGACGCAAGAAGTTGATTACCCGACCCAGTTTGATGAATTAATTAATTTAGAAGGCACTGTTATTATAATTTATACTCGATAGTACCTATAAGACTGGTGACATATTAATCAATATTGCATGAAACAATGAAATTATTATTAACAAGTTAATCTGAATATTCTAAATCAATACTTATTTTACCTAAATATTGTTCAAATATTGTTTGTAAGTACATACTTCAATCAGCTGATTGCGTTTATCTACTCTGATGTCATTATCGTAGAAGTAATAGGTACTTATACTAAAAGTGGACAGATAGTTTAATCAAACAATAATCGTATGTAGGTAAACTAGTGTTCAAAACGCGGGCAAGTAAGGGGAAGCTTTCCCGGGATAAAACCAAGCCAAGGAACAACAAAACATGTAACGTATATATATACCTAATTACCAAACTTATTTTGTTACTATTGAACCCAATATCTTGCCCAAATATTTTCCATATAGCCACTTGTACAATACAAATAAAATAATCGTACTATTAGATGTGATTAGTATAAGATAATAAACCTCTCCCGATTACGACGTAAACAGGTGTAATGTTTACCAATAACTGATAATGTCATTTCTGCGTCACTTACCTAATTAGTTACGCGATCATAACTATAACTACTTACTCAGCAAATTAAACGAACATTCAATTCCGAATCTTCCTGAAATCATCACATTAGTAAAGAAATCAAAACAAGATCCTACTTTATTAATATAGTTATAACTAGTGACCCGCCCCGGCTTCGCACGGGTCCAATATGCATGTATTATACATACAAACCTTCCTTAAGAATCACTCTATCTATTTAAAAAAACCGCATCGAAATCCGTTGCGTAGTTTTAAAGATCTAAGCATACATACGGACATACAGCGAAAGCGACTTTGTTTTATACTATGTATTGATGTGCATTTTTAATTAACAGTCGCGTCTGAGTCGATTGTCATTTAACAAGGATCGTGGCACGTCAGCATAATAATAAATGTATACCTAATAATTATGATGTGTGTGTGTGACGTAGAACACATCATACATTCATACAGTTGTTTCGAGTTGCAGACGGTTTTGATTACGATAAATAAGTACAATACATAAGTAGTACTAGAATATGAATATCACACGTAGCGTAGCTAATTGATATGATTGTGTTGTGGTATTTTTGTACCACATTACTTTAACACATCATGTATAATTGTGCCCCGACACATGAACTTTCCGTTGAATTTAAAAGTATCTGATGTATGTTTTAGGAGTTGAAGCCACATACCCTTCCCATGGGTTTTATATGAAATTTTGATTCACTTAAAAAAATATTCGACTGCAATAGTTTTAACATTTCGCTGTTTTCTGAAAAATATCTTTTACGTGCAAATGAAATCATTATTTCTATTGCCATGAAAAAGGCTTGTCGTATCAGGCCATTATTATACGAACATTTTATTTGCATCATTCTAAACCGTCCATTTCTTTAGTTCGTGACGGTGCAGTCACGGGGAGTACCGTTCTTTACTACCGGTCCTACTTAGCAGCCAACCAGTTAATTGTAGTTTTTGTCAAATGATTAGTATGCTCCCCTCTTCTATACCGGCTGCCGGCTACCGACAAGTTCTACTGGTTGGCAAAATGATGCCTTTTCCCGTCACCATGTGTCGTAGTCTTGGAGTGTGACAGTTTTTATAAAAAACATTTAGATTTTCGTAGATACTGTACAACGCAATGTTGTCAAAATGGTACCTCAGTTCTCTGATATATACAATACCCCTCCCAGTTTTACACCTTGTTTACGAAACGAAAAAAAATATCTGTTCTTCGGATCTCCTACGGTGCAACGTCTAGTATTACTTAGATACCATAAAATCACAAAATAACATCTATAACAATCGTTTATCGACTCTTAACCCGTACATAACTAAATACTACTACATACATAAAATCAAGGCATGCATTAAATATTCCTTGGAATGCTCCGTGCTTATTAGAAACCCATGGAATTAGTACGAAGAATTGATTTTAATTACCATTCACAAAGTCATCGTTTAGTGTTGCTCATTAGGTTCACGTATTTACTAAGTATGTTTCCGTTGCAAACAGACTACTGAACTACTACGCCAATAAAGGAGTGGTCGTCATATGAGTCCGCAAATGGATATTAGTGGCAACAAACTTGGGCTAGCGTTTAAACCAGTCCGGGGAAGCTTAGTACACCTATAATAACTATTACGACAA